CGAGGGGGAAGGGAAGGGGCAGAGAGGGAGGGGGCAGAAACAAAAACTATTACTTTATAATCTAAAAAAAACAACCAAAAAACAACAACAAACAAACAAACAAAAACAGCAACTAAAAAACAACAACAACAACAAAAACGAACCAACAAACAAAGCAAAAGCAAACTGTTGCATTGAAAAACAGAAATAAGAACAATAAATGCTTAAAAGCGCTAACAGGAACAAGAAGAAGAATATTACTTCATAGAGGTAACAGGAACGATCACTACTTGTCAAAGTAATACTATTATTTCTTAGATGTCAGAATGTAATTTTTTATGTCAGTTCTATTTTTAGAAGAATAATTCAAAGACAAAGATGTCCATGTCTCAGTCACATGTCTTCATTTACCCAGAACCCTTCAATTATAAACGATTCGTTTAATAATCTGAAAAGATCATTAGATGTGCTGACAAAATGAGTTAAATCTCGGATTTCAGCCGTATGAATATACACATAAATGCAAGAAATATAGGTTGGGTTTGAACAATTCGTTATAATATGAAATGATAAGATAAATGTTTGACTTGAGGGGAAAATGGCGTCAGTTTAAAATCTACACTTTTCATGTGTCTCTTTTTGAACAATATCCCCATTCGTGGATTGCGAGAAGTAACTCACAATTTTGTCAACACGCCTCACTTCTCCAGTGACAGTTTATTACTTTCTAGCTAACATACTAGGATAGTTTCAACATACTCTCTCACCTCAACTATCTACTTAAAGAGTCACCTTGAATTCTTAATACACATGAAGAACATGCTACGGTCGCTTTTAAGCACAATGGGGCATCCCGAAAAATGCTGTTTTGAGAAAATCGGTGGTAAAGTTTTTGCCCCTTGTTCAGTTTCTTTAAAAGACAACCAAATATACACACCAATGAAACCAAACTTCTCCCATAGATAGAGCAATGCCCACTTTTGGAGTAGGTCAACATTTCTGGAAACCCCCGAAATCTGGGTTACCCTATTATAGTACAGTCGAACCTGCCATGACAGCCACCTTCTACCCCCAGGCTTTATAAAATATTATGCATTTTCCCCCTGACGCTGTGGACATGCTGTCATTATTCATTCACCTGTCATTATTGTCCGTCCCTCCAATGGATGAAACGGTCATGTTGTTTAGGTCGCTCCCAATGTTTACCCAAGTTGACCAATGGGTAACTATAAATCTTCAGCTGCTGGTAAAGGAAGCTTGGCATCCGTCATAAACTTCTAAGCCCGCTCACAACTCAGTCCGCAATCCCAGTCCATCACAATGGAAGTTAACCCAAACTCGCGACAGAAGCGTCACTAGTTCGCCGAGTGGTAGCGACCCATGTGTTTGTTTTACTGTGGCACTTGGCCTTCCTCGTCTTTCACATTTTGTTTTGTTTTGACCTTTCACAGAACCATAATTTTTCAAAATAACAATAGTTAAACTAACAACAAAAGGCCCACAAAAACCGTCCTATCACTCTTTTCAAAAGAAAACATTAATAGAACTACCATCCCCCCCCCCCCCCAACATTTTAATGAGCCCATCGGCAATCCTAAGCCTGCAACTACCTCCAGTTGGAACCTCAGAAGCAATCATTTTTATTGTTTTGGTTTTTTTCACTTTGATCAGCCCTGCCTAAGACGGCAACCTGTCCTATACGGTCATTTTCTCCTCGACAATGCGTGGCCGTCTTACACAGGTTCGACTATACACTGATTCCTTTCACCTTCTTTCATGCTCTCTAGCAATGTTCTGTCGTCTGCTTTCGTCTCCTATTCCAGCCCCCACTCCCTCATCTCCTTTGCCCCCCTCCTCTGGGTTCCTGATTCTTTCTACACCCTTTCTACTACTACTCCTTGGCTTCTTCTTACTGCTGTCTGTCAGCCACACCCCTGATCTTCTGGTATGAAAGACCTACACCTAGCCTTCTCGGACAAGGACGAAAAATCTCGGAGGGCCCGTGTACAAGTTGCGCACGTTAAAGATCCCTCGGTGGTCTAAAATCGATAGGAGTAGGCTTAGGCCGCCACCTGGGCAAAATTCAAAATGTCCTACCAACTGAAAAAGTGTAATGTGTCCCGCGCGCTCATATGACCTTATGCAGTTGCGAGCGCCGTAAAACACTTACAAAAACAAAACATATACACTGATTATCATGATATGCCGAAGGAAGATCAAAGATCAGTGTACTTACCCTATACGTGTTGAACGGAATCGGTGCACAGCTATGTGCGTGAAGGGTTTATATATTGTGTTTTAATTGTACAGTAATCTGCTAATATTCGTAATACTTCAGTTCTGAGGCAAACTATTCAAACCTTTAATTGGTTGGGATATCGATCTGTTACGTAAAAATTAATTAACTGATCAAGAGGAAAAGGTAATAAATAATTGAAAAATAGCGCGGTCTGACGATTCAGATGACATAATGTGTTAGTTTTAATTAATATTTTCAACTTTACATACTCTTTTTTAACATTTAAATAAGACTATCTTACCGTCTTAATACCTCTCTTTTTTCCCCTTTTTACCATTATAGATACAGCTTAAAAAGACAGTTGATAGTTGAATCATATACATTTGAACAAGACAGTTGAACCAGATACATGTACAGCTAAAGGCAGACCATGGGTCAAAAGGCATATACAGTCAATTGTCCCTCATGCTCTATGGTGGTTGCATCCCATTCGACAATTATTGTTAACCGACAAGGAGCAAAAGAAGTATAGTATAAAGAAGAAAAAACACTGGCTGCCGCAAATGCTGATACAATGTATTTTTATACGTCCGCTTTTCTCACATACACTTTCTTAGTTCACGCCCCCCGTCCCCCTTTCCTTACCACCCGCTTTTCTTACATTCTTCTTACATTCGCCTTCTTTCTTACGACCCCAGTGCCTAACCCACTTTTTTGCTCTCGCTTTCTCTTTTACCCACTCCTCCCCCCCAACCTCACACACACACACA